TTCAATAATAATTATTATAAATTCATTAATAATTTAAAATTTTGATTATTTTAAAATTTTTCTTTAGAATGGTTTTCAATTCTTAATTATTTTATACTTATTATTATTTATTTTAACTTAAAAAATAAAAATAAAAATTGATTATAAAAAAATTATATTTTTATCCTTAAGTTGACATGTGTTGTTGCTTGATTAATCAAACATTAGTCAACTAATAGAAATTGATTAATATAACAAAAAAAAGTGAATGGAGGGGTTGTTTTCAATGTATGTTTAATAGTACAAAGTTGGTTATGAGCTATATCTTGATAGATAGATTGCAACAATATTTTTAATATAGTACAAGAGTATAAAATGTATTTAACTCGTATTTAAAAGACTAAATATAAAAGAATGATAATCAATAGTCCCTTCTATTACCTCTATAAAGGGGGATACCTTTAAACTCTCTAACCATTATAGAGCTATCCCATCATAGCAAACAATGAGCCACTCTTCTTTTCAATTTCTCACCAAGTCGGGAGCTCTTGTAAACACATATTTCGATGAGCTCGTGACATAGACCATAAAATCATACACTTGAGCCATTTCTCCGAATTCGTCATCTCCACAAGTTAATTGGTGAGAGAATCTAAATACCCTAAAAGTTGGAGTTACCTCAAAGCTCGATAGAAGTGGTCAAAGGTAGCCAAAACGATCCATTTATTCAAGGGAATCTAACTCACACTCATATGAAAGTGGTCAAACAACTTCACCACAAAGTTTATTAATGGAAACATGAAGCCATACTCTACCATGCATGTAGGAACAACAATGTCCAGGTTTCCCTCGGCCATGTCGAAGGGGTTTGTTCATCTTATCATTAAGATTGAATATAACTAGGAGAAAATTCTCCTCTAGCAATTGCACATAAGTAGCCAATCTCTCACCCGACACACAATTTTTTTTTTCAATTTTATAATAATTATTAATAAAGAAAATTTTAAAAATTTAAAGAACATTTTAATGATTATTAATTACTACAATAAAAAGTTTGAAAAAAATTTTAATTGTTATTTAAAAAAATTCTTTTGATTTTCTTCTTAAGGTTTCTTTATTTATAGTTATTGTAAAATCATTAAAAATTAAAAAAATAATTTCTTTAGATTTGTTTTTAATTTTCTTCAATAATAATTATTATAAATTCATTAATATTGTAAAAAATATGATTATTTTTAAATTTTTCTTTAGATTTTTTTTTAATTTTTAATGATTTTATAATAATTATTAATGATTTTAACTTTAAAAAACAAAACAAAAAAAAAAGATTCTAAAAGGAAATTATATTTTTATTCTTAAGTTAACACGTGTTGCCACTTGATTGGTCAAATATTAGTCAACTAACGGAAATTGATTAATCTAATAAAAAAGTTAACGAAGGGGTTGTTTTCTACCTACGTCTAATAGTACAAAGTTTGTTATGAGCTATATCTTGATAGATAAATTGCAATAATATTTTTGGTACAAGTAAAAGAACACAAAATATATTTAACCTTATTTAAAAGATTAAATATAAGAGAATGATAATCAATAATGCCTTATATTACCTCCATATAGGGAGACACCTTCAAATGCTCTAACCGCTTATTTTGGGAGCTACCCCATGATAGCGGACAATGAACCACTCTCATTTTCAATCTCCCACTAAGTCGAGAGCTACCATAAACACATCTTTTGATGAGCTCGCAATACGAGCTATAAAATTATACATCGAAGCCCTCTTTCCGAACTTACCATCTCCACAAGTCAAGTAATGAGAGGATCTAAACATCCTAAAAGTTGGGTTACCTTAAAGCTTCGATAAAAGTGGTCAAAGGTAACCAAAACGATCCACTTATTCAAGTGAATCTAACTCACTCTCGGATGAAAGTGGTCAAATACTTCCACCATAAAGTTAGCTAATGGAAATGTGATGCCATACTCTAACATGCACTTGGGAACAATAATGTCCAGGTTTCCTCGGCCATGTTAGAAGAGGTCTCTTCATCTTATCATTAGGGTTGGCCATAATTAGGAGAAAATTCTCCTCCAACAAACACATATAAGTAGCCAATCTCTCACCCGACACACAACCTCGGCCCTCCATAATGAAATGATAATTGTCTTGAGAAGAAAAAGACCCACCAACACTAAAACTAGTGCCCACTATAACATTTTCCCCCGAGACATCTTTAGATATACACCTAACTCTATCTAAGTCATTTATCTTTCTATCCACAAGAATGAAAAAGAGAAAAAAGAAGAAGTAAGAGTTACCTTATCGTTATAAACCCGGAATGACAAAACACTCCAAAAAAAAAAAACATATATATATATATATATATATATATATCCACACACAAAAATGGTCACAAAAAAGAGAAAGGTAAAAAAGTTTTTCCGAAAAATTTAGATGAAATTTTAGAAATCGTAAGGAGAAATTTGAAACACATGAAGGCATAAAAAAAAAGAAAAAGAAAAAGACTAGTAATTAGGCCTATAAATAGGCAAATGGAGCCTTTTTGCTTCAATTAGGACATCTTCATGTCAAGAGATTACCTCACACTAATGTGGCAACGTCGCATTAGGTGAAAATTTGACGTAGAAGCTCTTAATGAGAGTACTCATTATTCTTATGAAGAACATAAGAAAACTCAATCGTACACGACAATAGAGGCTCCAAGCATACAAACACTTGTCCTTTCCTCACTTAAAGCTACCAAACTTGAGGCACCATAATACAAAGAAAGGAAAGGCCCAAAGGCTCCCAACTCTAAAACCCATCAAACACAATCAAGGACCACATCACGTCAAGAGAGACTAGCTCACCAAATAGCCACTAGAGTTTTTAAAAGACTCAATCTCCTTTTGAAAGAGCCTAATCTCCTTACCACAAGGTGCTCCAATTCGAAAGAGAAAGATGCTACTCTCCACCATTGTTATCGAGAGACAAAACATTAAGCGAAAAATCCCTAATGATGACATCATTAAAATCATCAATCATTATAATCGCATTAATGTCGTTGCAGAATCAAATACAATGTTGGCAAAACACCAATACTTATTGGCTTCTCCACTAACATCAAGAGGAAAAAAGATATTCATGCATCTTTGACCATGCAAAAAGCTTCCACTATTGCCTACATAAAGGAAAAAAGTTTCGGACAAGAAAAAGACCGAGATATAAAACAATATACAAGTTCCACACATACAACAAATCTCTTAAAAGAGAATAAAAGCATTCATGCAATATTACTTTTCTTTCAATAACTCCAAACGCAAGCAAAACTACTCAGCAAAAAAACTACAAACAAGTTTCAAAATAACTCTCAAGATAGGTCCATCCTACACATCTCCTATATTTTTGCTAAATTACACATAAATTAATACACATTAGTATATAAGAGCATTTTTAAATCAATTTGTCATTTTTCGATCACTAATTTGAGTGTCAAAGGTCTCCTACTTAATTAAGAGAACTTGTTTTGCATGCAAGAAAACTTTCACTTACACCCTTGCAAATGTTTGCCGATCTTTATCATTATCATCATAAACCATGTATTTTGAATTTGTTAGATGAGTACAATCATAACTCATCACCTGTTCATTTGAATATAAAACCTAAAATATAAATTTCATATATATATAAATATATAAATATAACAAAAAACAGACTAGAATATACATAATATTAAATAGATAGCATGAAACGTCATATTAGGGAAGCCGAAATCCGGGAAATTAAACATTAAGATAGCTAGAACTTTTATATTGCTTTAATCACCGCCATTGCAGTACCATTATCCAAATATCTCCGAAGACACTAATTACCATCCTTACATTGTTATCTAGAGTAAACGCGTGCATACAGCTAGCCCATACCACAATCAAGCTAGGCATGCTGATCTTGCTAGCCTAGCCTACGGTATAGACTATCCCATGCTTCGTGCTAGCATGCATTCTCCTTGCATCAGACGACAGAAGTGGGAGGAGGTTCAGTTACCAAAGAAGCATTGGTTTCCATAGTCATCCTCACTCATTTCTCTAGATTTAACCCATAACAAGCATGGGAGCTAGAGGCTTTTATAGGTATCCGGTAATGCTAATTTTATGTAAGGCTAATTGTATATGATTGTCTTATATAATTTATTTATTGAAAAATATCAATGAATACTTTATATACTAAATAAGTAATTTTTATTAATAATTTTTATAAATTAAATAGTAGATTTTTTTTGATAAATAAATTTTATAAAATAATTTTGTAAAATTAGCATTGTAAACTATAAAACTTCAGAAGGAGCATTGCATTTGAAGTTATTGGTTATTTGAAGAAGTTTAAGAATTTTTTTTTATTAAGTCCAAGGTTTTCAACATGAATCTTTTTATTAAAATTTCATAATATCTATTTATATTAGTTCCAAACTTTAATATATATATATATATATATATATATATATATATATATATATATATATATATGGTAATTTTATCAGATATTCTTTCATATTTTCCAAAAAAAATAAAAAAAATAAACTCATATATTAATTGGAAATTTTACTATTAATTCATGAATCTTGTTAGGGATCATATCTTCAATAATTGAATTCTCTAGGTAGTTAATTCGATTAAAAAACCACTCTTATATATATGGAATGAATAAAAATTAAATATAAATAGTTTTTGTTATTACATTTACAAAATATTCGCTCGAGTCATCATATTTAAATAAAGTGGTTAAAAATGATTTACAACCGATGATCTGTTTCGCGATGGCATGATTTGTAATAAATGAAGCTTAGAAGCCTGATTTACAATGACGATCCTTTTTAAAACCGACACAGGTCCTTCAGTTCCTTCTAATCTCTCTGACAGTCGCTGCACAACAAGCGACGCCCATCATCTTTTCCCACTTTCCCACTTTCCCTTCGCTTTTTAAATTATCCTTTCACTCGCTCGCTCACTCTCAGTCTCTCACAAACATGGGTTCCATGGCCGGCATTTGGCCGCTCGCTGTCCTCCTCCTCTTGCCCCTCTCTATCTCCGCCACCGCAAAACAAACCTACATAGTTCACATGAAACACAACTCAAAACCAGACTCCTTCCCCACCCACCATGACTGGTACACTTCTAGCCTCCAGTCCCTAACTTCCACTTCTGACTCCCTCCTCTACACTTACACCAATGCATTTGACGGCTTCTCTGCCTCCCTCAGTGACGAAGAAGTCAAATTCTTAAAACAATCTGACTCTGTCGTCGATGTCTACGAAGACACTCTTTACTCTCTCCACACCACTCGCACTCCTGCTTTTTTGGGCCTCAATACTGATTTAGGCCTTTTTGATGGGCATCACACGTTAGACTTAAATCAAGCATCGAATGATGTTATTATCGGTGTTCTTGATACTGGGATCTGGCCTGAATCAAAGAGTTTTGTTGATTCCGGAATGCCTGAGATCCCGACTCGATGGAAGGGAGAGTGTGAGTCTGGTCCTGATTTCAGCCCCAAACTTTGCAACAAGAAGTTGATTGGCGCTCGATATTTTTCCAAAGGATACCATATGGCATCTGGTGGAAATTTCTTTAAAAAGCCTAAAGAGGCCGAATCCCCGCGTGACCGAGACGGCCACGGTACTCACACTGCAAGTACAGCCGCTGGGTCTCAAGTAGCCAATGCGAGCTTACTTGGCTACGCTAGCGGCACGGCTCGTGGGATGGCCGCCCACGCGCGTGTGGCTTCTTACAAGGTTTGCTGGACTACCGGTTGTTTTGGTTCAGACATTCTGGCAGGAATGGATCGGGCAATTGCAGATGGTGTGGATGTTTTGTCCCTTTCTCTTGGTGGCGGATCGGCTCCTTATTATCGCGATACAATTGCAATTGGTGCTTTTACAGCGATGGAGAGAGGCATCTTTGTGTCTTGTTCGGCTGGTAATAGTGGGCCTGGTAAAGCTTCTCTTGCAAATGTGGCTCCTTGGATCATGACCGTTGGTGCTGGAACTTTGGACCGGGATTTTCCCGCTTATGCAGAAATGGGAAATAAGAAACGGTTCACTGGTGTTTCTTTGTACAGTGGAGCAGGAATGGGGAAAAATCCGGTGGGTTTGGTTTATAAGAAAGGAAGTAACAGCACAGGCAATTTGTGTATGCCTGGTTCACTTGAACCGGAGTTAGTCCGTGGTAAGGTGGTGGTTTGCGACAGGGGGGTTAATCCACGTGTCGAAAAGGGTGCGGTCGTGAGGGATGCAGGTGGGGTTGGGATGATATTGGCGAACACGGCGGAGAGTGGGGAAGAGTTGGTGGCGGACAGTCACTTGTTGCCGGCTGTGGCTGTGGGGAGGAAGGTTGGGGATGTAATTAGAGAGTATGTTAAGAGTGATACAAATCCAAGGGCTGTTTTGAGTTTTGGTGGGACGGTTTTGAATGTACGGCCTTCGCCAGTCGTAGCAGCGTTTAGTTCAAGAGGGCCAAATGTGGTGACCAAGGAGATCTTGAAGCCGGATTTGATTGGGCCTGGAGTCAATATCTTGGCTGGTTGGTCAGAGGCAATTGGACCCACTGGACTGGAGACCGACGCCAGAAAAACTCAGTTCAATATCATGTCAGGTACTCATTGACTCCCTTCGGTTATCTGATAACGGTCATATCCCTACCATTTGTTTTCGTATTTGTGTCTATTTTTTGTTATTACTACGTGTATATCTACTAGGTCTAGGAGCACTATTACCTGTGTTAGGTTCCACATGCCAGGTTTGCTTCCTTTGAATAGGAGGGAGGGGTATAGACATTATATTTGCGAAATGGTGGATAGTTTAATCACGTCTGGTTGGGACTTGGGAGCTGATAATTTTGGCGGGTGGTGAACTATGGTAATTGGCCAAACAGGGTTGGCATGTTAGCAAGCTTGAAAATGGAGTCATGAACTTAAATATCGGTGGTAAGTGGGAAGGAACTAGACAGATCACATACTCTTGTCAACTTTTCAACTGCCAACTCTGTTTGTCTGGCTTCAACTACCCTTTATTGGTTTGGAGTTAACGCTAGTAAAAAAAGATGGTAGCCTAGCCTTAATGTAACTAGGTCAATGTCATATCTGTAGTCCTGCTACTTTTCAGCAGTATTTTAATTGGTTTTATGGATCAACCAACCAATCCTTATTCTACTTCTGTTTGTGGGGTCTCCCTTTTGCTATGCTTTAGCATGTGTTATTCTGGTCTGTAGGTACATCCATGTCGTGCCCGCACATCAGTGGTGTAGCTGCATTGCTGAAGGCAGCCCACCCAACATGGAGCCCAAGTGCGATTAAATCTGCACTCATGACCACTGCCTATGTTATTGACAACACCAACTCCTCACTCCGGGATGCTGCAGGGGGTGCACTTTCGAACCCGTGGGCTCATGGTTCTGGTCATGTAGACCCACAGAAAGCCCTCTCTCCGGGCCTCGTGTATGATATCTCAACGCATGAATATATAGCGTTCTTGTGCTCTCTGGACTACACCATTGAGCATGTCCAAGCCATTGTCAAGCGTCCAAACATCACTTGTCCGAGGAAATCTAACCCCGGTAATCTCAACTATCCGTCATTCTCAGTGGTGTTTGCTAACCAAAGGGTTGTAAGGTACAGCCGAGAATTGACCAATGTGGGTGCTGCTGGCTCCATTTATGAAGTCGACGTCACTGGGCCACCAGTGGTGCAGGTGACGGTGAAACCCTCTAAGCTTGTTTTTAAAAATGTCGGGGAAAAGCTGAGGTACACAGTGACTTTTGTGGCAAATAAAGGTGCCAGCCTCACTGGCAGATCTGAATTTGGTGCAATTGTGTGGAGAAATACCCAACACCAAGTTAGGAGCCCAGTTGCATTCTCATGGACGCAGTTGTGAGCTCTTATTTGTTATTAGTTGAATATGGGTTTTCTCTTGTTGGGCAACTGTATAACGTTGCCTGAGAAAAAGATCTGCAATAGGGCTTGATCCATCCATCTGAGAGAAGCCCGAGTTGGGATAATTTATGTATTGTTTGCCATTAGGTAGGCAGCATGGGTTTGGTAAAAGTTTGATTTACATTACAAAATAGTGTTGAGAACATGATGTAAATCAAACTGATTGGCATACAAATTCAAAGATCGACTTCTTATGCATAACCAAATAGTGTTGTCGAATTATGAGCTGAAAAATCCATATCCCTGCAACTTAACCTTTCTAAGGGGGTGTCAATTTTTGACTGACCCAAAACTAACAGAATTTTCAACTGTCTTAGGGTAAGGTTAAAAAAAAAAAAAAATGCTTGTCTAAAATTTGATTTGGAAAAAAGTAAAAATAGATAGATAGCCAGGAAATTGAATTATTTTATGAAGTCCGGAACTATGGTTAATTGGGCCAGAAAATACTGATCAAAGTCCGAGGTATTCCCACCTTCTTCGTGGGCTGTAAATCATGGATAGTTTGGGCGTGCAGCTAAGATCCAAATCCAACTTTGCAATTCTTTCGTAATTTACTAGATATTCATGTTCAGAAACTGTATCTCTGTTTTGCCAAATTCGTTGATCTGACTCCATTTCTAAAACAAAGTCATGGTCGGCATTCGATTGCCTTCTAAACCAGTGCCATTGAATTCTCTAAATTATTGGTCTCTTTTATGGTCCCCTTGATTGGTAAAGCCCACCACTATGCTCAGACAAGCAGCCTTAGTCGTACTATTTATTGACAAAAGAAATACTGGCAATGGCATGACGCTGAATAATTACTATAATTCATTTAGAGAACTTCAATGACAAGACAGCACCTGTGACTGGTTTACAGTTTTGCAGAGAGGATAGTCTCATGACCAGTAACAACCATAACCCAGCCAGTACATGGCCAGCCAATTCAATTATTTTGCATCAATAATTAGAAAGTTGTTGGTCCAGTGGATTTTGAAGGGTGGGTGTGGATCATGATTATCATCAACAAGGGCTGTGAAGGGGAAAAGGAGCCCTTTTCCATATATCAGCAAAATCTAATGATGTTTGAAGCAAACAAACAACAAACTTATGACCGTGATAAGACCACAAATATGAAAACATCAGTCTTATATGAATATAGCCAAACCAATTCAGGTCCAAAAATCCAATCAGTGTCTAGGTTACTTACGAGTATCCTATTTTATTTGTGGTTTTAAAGCTCTTTTGGAGCTTGTTCGTCAAGTGCGGTAGTTGCAGGGCCTAATAGATAATTGAATGGACAGCTGCTTGGCATAGATTGAACTATTTTAACTGCAGCATTATAGACCTAGCCAAGGCCAGTTCAAAAAACCAAAAAAAAAAAAAAAAAAAATCAAAACTTCCCAACAATATACCATATGTAGGAATTGAATGGCATATTGGAGATAAAAGCTTCCTTATAATATTGCACCAACATGCTAGAAGAATAAACAGCATGGATTACAGCAACAAGTCTTTCTACAATTGCAACAAAGGCTTACCTTCGGACATTTGGGACAAGAGCGTGTCCAGCTGCAACAAGAGCAATCTCGGCATGAAGGTAATTGACAATTGCAGCGGCACCTGCTGCATGAGATCTTTCTACAGCAATGGGATCGAGGACGAGGACAAGAGCAGCCCCACCACCACTTTCGAGTTGGGCAGCTGATGCAGGAAGAGCAGTTACATAGATTGCATTCACAGCAGCTCGGACATTCTAGATGAAGAGAGCATCCCGAATAACAGCAGCAACAAATCCATGATAGGTCAAAACAGCGCATCCCACTGCAAGCGACGAAGGAAGTCACGTTATTTGGGACAGTCAAGTCATGCAAAGAAGGGAAACTTTTGTTGGTCAACAAAAATGGATTTAAGGCCTAGGCGCCTGCATTTTGTAGTATGCTGTGATTGCAAAACTAAACATGCCACTAAATTTATAATAGAACGTTAAATACATTAATCACAAGGTTAAGTCATATAAATTCTCAAATTAAGGACTTTTATGGAACATTAAGAACCAAAAGGATTCGGAATGGGGATTGTGCAAACACCAATAAATAGTATCGAATAGAGATACTGAAACATAAGACAAAAGGACAAGGAAACAGTACCATAGCCACTTCCAGAATCGACAAGACCTTCGTTTTTTTCGACTTCTGGTTAAAAGAAAAGAAAGAAAAAAGAAACATTAGGCCATTGTTCCTCTTCAATAACCAGGAAGCAAAGTTTTGGTGACAGATGATACTGTTCTTACGTAGCAATCAAAGGATCTGAATTTGCCACAACAAAGTCAGTGACCCTGCAGAATGTTATTTCAATTAATTCCAATTAGTTTTGAACAGAATCCCTAACCAGCGCATAAAAATTTTGGTACTCTTGAAGCTATGCAAGGTAATTGTATAACTGACGTACTCTTTGCAGCATCTAGATGCAGGCTGGAGGCCTTGAACGGATTTTAGTTCCTCCTGCTCAAATTGAAATTGCCAGTTCAATATTTTTGCCATTGTATAAAAGAGAATAAAAGCTTATGAGAGAAGAAGATTTTTCTTTTTTCCCATCCAATCAATCTGCACACAAACTTCCCGAAATAAATTGGCTGAGAGGAACCAGCTACAGATATTAATGACTGCTCATCTTCTATCATATAACAGGTGATACTTGTATCACCAGCGAAACCTCTTAGAGGATGATCAATTTAGACGAGGCTAAGATTCAAAACCAAAATTTTCATACATATAACAAGGTTGAATAAAATCTCTACAACAGTTCAAACCAATACTTGATCACTAGCAAATGGTCTTGAGCTACACGATCAACAGTGAATATAAGTTAATTGGTGGTATCGACAAAGAAAGACACTCTGCCTCTCAAAGAGAGTGTATTCAAGAAGCAAGATTGCTTCAACTTTCAGGTAAGATGCAGCTAGCAACAATGACAAGTTTTAGTTTTAGTCTTTTTGTTTTTTGAACAACAATAATACATGAATAATTCCGTACGACGCCATCACAAGCTATCAGTCAGGTACTCATGCTTCTGGGCTAAAACAACCAATCCAAAAATGCCCAATTTTAGACTTTTAGCTAATAACACAAAAGAAGCTTCAGCCCAATTTTCCGCTGTTGATGAGAATTTCTTGTATTTTAAGACAAACCAATACAACACTTGTTAAGGTTGTTTCAACTTCCCTTTCTACTTTCTCCTCTATTTTCTTGTTGTGATATTAGTCATCACTGCAACTTCACATTTCCACTACATTCTACATCCACCAAGATTTAGCATAAAAGAAAAGAAAGAAACCAAACCTCGACACGTCAATCAGAGGAGGGAAAAAGAAAACAGAATGAAAACAAATTTAAAGCCCACCTCTAAGAAACCAATCTCTCTCTCAAGCATCTGCACTTTAGCCATTTCCCTGCGCTTTCCATACAAATCTGGATACTCTGGCGGTGACTTGGGGCAAGGCGGCGGCAAAGATGGTAAAGAGGAAGAGCCACCCGTCGTAGCAGGAGCCATTATTCTTTAAATTTTTTTTTCTTAACACTCAAATTTCCAGAAACTGCCAAGTAGAAAAGAGAGAGAGAGAGAGAGGGAAGAAATGCAAAGGAGAAGAGTAGTAGAGGAGGAGTAAGAAAGAAACAACAACATCTAGTAACAGCGTAGAGTAGTAGTAATAGGAAATGGAAAAACAGTAAGGGTACAAATAAGAAGCGGGTAAGTAAGGCTATGATGCAGTGACAGTACTAGCAAAAGGAAAGAAGTTAAAGCGGAAAGGAGGGATGGAGAGGCAGAGACAGAGCTTGGTAGGCAGTAATTACGTGACCTGACAAGGATAATTACAATACCCAGAAAAGAAAAGCAGCGGCAAGCAAGAGACTGAGACAATTTAATAAGAGCAGAGTTGGTACATGAGAGTGAATATGTTCGTACGTGTATTATAGTTGCACTAGATAGATAGATTGATTTAGATTTGATTAATAGAGAGAGAGAGAGAGTTATTATTTTCACACAGAGAGTGTGCGTGTGGTGAAAGTGAGATCTATATAGCTATCTATCTAGTGATGGATGGGGTGAAGACGCTACCTTTGTGCATGGTAATAACGACAGTGGTAATAATGGTGAAGTCGGCAGTGGAAAACCCCTGCAAACATGTCTCTGTACTAGGCTCCCACCTCCTCAGTGATTAACTAGTGAGTAAGTGCTTTGGTCCATTTTTTGAGCTCACAAAAAAGTTACTGCTACTGCTACCTGTTTTTCTTTTTATTTTTTACTACTTGTATATATATAAGACCAATAAAACGTAACAAAACAAAGTCTTTCTTCTTTCTCGTGCGTGTACGTGTGCGTGTGCATTATTTTCTGGGTCCGAGAGAGCGTCGCTGGTGGATGCGCAGAGGGAGAGGCGAAAAGCACGATGTGTAGTAAGGAGCTGAGATGACACGTGATGGCTGCGTAGGAGAGAGAGGAGAGGGTATTTTAGTAGTACGCAGCAAGTAGCATTGTTTTGTGCATTGGGTTGGGAGAGGGAGTGATATATTTGGATATCTACGGATGAGTCCCCAAGTTATATAGTCAATACAAATTCAGTTCTCAACCTTTAAAATCTTACTAATTTCTCTCTAATATTTCTTTAGTTTACAATATTCATCCATTTGTAAGCTTTGATTACTAATAAAATAACAAAATTTGAGCAATGCTATATATTTCATAAGAAAACTAACAAGAATATATTAGAACAAACATGGTAAGCCATCCAATCATGGAGTTCATATGGTAGTTATTATTGAGCTCTAACAATTTAATGACTTAAATAATTCATTTATAATTTAGTTTTCTTTTTCTTTTTCTTGCGAAAAACCATCATTGACAAAAACTTTCAATAAAACAAAATAATATAATAAGTGATTTTTTTTTAATTAGCAAGGAACTTGTGGAGAAATTATTGATAATGAAACTTAAATGCTACTCTTCGTGATATTTTGATAACAAAAATTCTATTTGAGGAAAGTAAAGTTGAATTTAACTTAATAAAATAAAATTTACATTTCAATTATATGGAGTTTTGATGTATTTTTTTTCCACCCATCTTATTAATTCAAAGAAAATAGTTAGCATAAATTTATTTTTTTTAACAAGTTTTTCCCAATGATTATATTTTGTTTTATTTTATATTTTTTTAACAAATTTTTTAATATTTTTTTCCCAATGATTATATTTTGTTTAAGATAAATTTATACGTAGACACACATTTATACCATAAATGTGAGAAACCTCTTTAGATATGAAGTTAAAAAAAAAGACTTAGAAAAGATCGAAACATTTTTAGACATGAAGTTAAAATTAAGAAAGGCAAAGTAGATATTACTTGGTCAATTAACAAAATAAGAATATTATATTTTTCTAAGTCATATACTTTAAAGTATAATATTATAGTACTTAATTCATAAAGTGAGTTTAAATGTTTTCTTCAATTTTATGGTAAGGAAAGTGATGGGGATGAGTTTGTTAGAACAAATTAATAGTCTAAGTAGACATTAGCAAGGTTTTGAAGGCCAGGGACTGATCCGTCAGTAGGTGTATAGGTTGGGGGATTGAGTTGTAGTTACCCCCGTCAACCAGGAACCAGCTCTGATTTTGAGACGTTGGAAAAAAGAATAATCACCAAGAGGGTAAATCCGATAAGAAGGGTGTAGGTAGTGAAGATACCTTTTACAAAAGAAAATGGAGAGATGGGGATATTGCTATTTTTGACGGAGGGAGGAAGCACTCAAGCAACGAGACAGCTTACTTAGGTGAAGTGGTAAACTATGCAACAAATATTTCACACTTCTCAGCGTTTTTGAAATAAGCAATACTATAGACAGACGATCAGAGTACTGTTGTGTCGTGTGGTCACTTCAATTATGTTTGATTTCGGTTACCGTAACATCTTTATTTTCAAACACGTCTGATTTAATTTTTCGATATTACTTGCTAGCTAGTCTGCCAAGCAGGGGGTGGAGGGCCACAGGAAATTCGATTTTAAAAGGAGTTTATTGTATAAGAAAATTTATTACGTATTCAATATACTTTGTCAATATATAAATTTTAATTTTAATTATTGATTGCATTAACTTTACAAAAATATGTTTGTCGCATTATTATGTGAATCCTCTTGCCTAAGGCTTTATTTGTTTAGGAGAAAATAAGTTTATTTTTTCTATTTTCTCTCATTATTTTATATTTGTTTCGTGTTTAGAAAAAAAATCAATGAAATTTGATTTTTTGTCAACGAAATTTGACAAATTATTTTTGAAAAAACAACTTTTGAGCTAAAACATAAGAAAACATTTTCTCTTTTATGAAATCTGTCTCGCTCTCACGGTACTCACTTCTCTCTCGATATAATTTAACAATTTTTTTCTATATCTTTTTTATTTATTTAAAATATATCAAATTAATTTTTAATTATTTCTTATCAATTATTATCAATTATTTAATTATTTTTTTATTTCTACTAATATTTGATTTTTGATTTATAAATACATTAAATATTCTTAAAAACCATTTTTATACATTAAAATAATTTTTAAATAAATATTTTAATAATTTATCTCTATTTTTTTTTTTACCATTATCACAAATACCACATAGACTATACTTAGATAATTGAAAATAATTATTATAAGATCTGTAACCATTTGTGAAAATTTTGAAACTAATTAATTTATTAATAAATATATATTTTTTTCAACATTATTCATTCGTAATTAAATCAATAATTTATGACTAATTTTAATCGGTTGTAAAATTTTATTGATAATTGTAGTCAATAATTAGTTATAAAGTATTCTAATATTAATCTTTTAAACCAAACGAATAATTATCTATAAATGGTAACTAATAATCTATAAAACTATTTTTTAGACTAATTTTTTTAAAAAGAAAAAGAATTTTTAATTAAGTTACCAAAATAACAATGTTATGATTGCTTAGAAGGTTTTTTTTTTTTTTTTAATGTGAATATTGATTTGATTTTGTCTCAAGTTGCTTTGATGAATTAGTTTGATGATTAAAAATATACATTTTATTTTTTTAATTTTTTGAATTTAAATCTTAGAGTTAGTATTTATAAAAACTTATTAAATTCTTCCAAATACATCTTATACTTGTGAAATTATGAATATGCATTATTAAAGTTTTATCAAAACTCATTAATATAACAATCACAAATCTATTTTTATATTTCAATTTTATCAATGAAGCAAGCGCTAAAATATATTTTTTTAATAATTTTTTCATTTAATTACCAAAAATATTTTTTTTAAATAACTATTGAAAATTGTTTTCTCCCAAACATTCGGAATTCAAATTTCCCAATGAATTTCTTCATATCCGTATTCTGAGAGTCAGATGATAACACACCACCCGACTCACTCATATCATCACACAACAACCCACGTTCCGACGACCTAAACCCGGACCCTGACCCTCCAACCCATAAACTTCACATTGTCGTTTGGCTCTTTAATCAAAACCATAGCAACCAAATCAGAATCCATTATTGAAACCTATAAAAAAGACCTTCGAAGAATTAGGGTCCGGTTCAAAGAAATTAAGACATCGCCGTCATCCGTCACATCGATTCACGCTCCGTCTACGACCTCCCCGCTTCCTTTGAAACCGTTGCGCCCGTCGCTCAAGAGTTCCTCGAGTCCGTCGGCCAAGCCATTGACGATATAACATTTGGAAAATAATGGCCCAGATCATCTCTGATCACAATTAGTTTTTTCAGCTGTTGATCAGGATCATGATAGCGATGCATGGAGTTTGATTAAGCGACAATCTTTGAATGTGAAATATAGTCTTTTTGATGCTCAAGTGCGTGCATTGCAAAGTGATTTCGATACTTATATATAGTTGTGAACCTGGTGATAAGGAGGATATGAGAAATGGAGATCAGAGGGTTTTGTGATTGAAGAGAAAAATGAAGAGATTAACCGGCGAAATTGAGGTTGTGCCTAGTAAAGTTGATGATCAAAGTTTTTGGAGCCGATATTTTTATATATTGTTCAACTTAAAACTAGCAGAGGAAGCGAGGGCTTTGCTATTTTAAACGTGCGATTTCTGGTGATGAAGAGGAGGATCTAAGTTGGGATTTTGAAGATGATGAAGGTAATGGGAGGGAGAAGAAAGAAGCAATGCATTAATTTATTTATTCATTCATTTATTTATATTGTTTGTTTTTCTTACTCATTCTGACTAATTATGTTTGAAGTAAAAGCATCAAGATTTATTTTTTTTAATAAATACAATTTTAAAATTTAAATTATAAATATTGATAAAAAATTCACATAAATACCAACTCGATTATAACTATCCAACAATTTATTAGCTTTTTTTTCTTTTTTTCTTTTTTTAACCACGGTACCAAGTTCACATGGTTCTATCATGTGTATAGTTAATGAATATAGAATTAACAGAATTATTTAAATAAAAAAATTATAAAGTGATACACCTAAATAATAAAAATAATTTTTTTTGAAAAATTTGTAAATTAAATTATATAATAAATTCGATATAAAATTTTGAGATATAATTTAATCATTTATTTTTTTTTCTTTTAATAAGGTATTAAAGAATGATTTGATTATAAGTTTAAATCTTACTACACATTTTTTTAATTAAATTTAAAAAATAACAATATGAGACAGTAATAGCTATGTATAAATTTCAAATTTAAGGTTTTCTATAATTATGTGTTTTTATATAAAATTATTTTTAAAACCTTGTCTTAATAATTTAAAGTTTTTAGTTTTGACAATATTTTTATTTTAGGCTGAGATGATAAGAAGTAAAAAGTAAAAAAGTTCATGGTAATTAAATGAAATCCATCTTCTTAATGTAATCAAGAGAGTACTAGGCCATTATGGGATTAATAGTAGAATACAAACCAAGCACTTTTCTAAAGGCTCATATTTTGTGCTTTTTGGGAAGAACGGAGATGCCGAGTAACATTGGCTAACAAGGACAGCCCAATGGCTTAATTGAGAGAAAAATTTGTTTAGGAGTACACTGGTTGTTGTTGGGACTCAAGTAGGTAGTTTCACTACCGGTGGCTTGTTCCTTTTTTGATATGAATAGAACACTAATAATGTGTCTAGAAGAAAAGAAAATGGTGGGAAATAAAATTTGAGAGCATGAGTTTTTTTTTTTAGTTTTAGTTTGGAAGGGATGTGTAGTAGAGAGTTTTGAGAATTGATTGGATGAATTGTCGACAGATCAATTAAGATATAAAGAGTTAGTATTTTGATTTATAAAAGCAATGATCAAAGAACCAAGTAGAAATTATACAAATGGTGAGAGACGTGAGAGAAGTAGACAGTGCTAATAAGACATAAGTTAGATGGGCGACGGTGGATAGTCAAAGTTCAAACGAGATGAAATTTTAGATGTTGTCTCGGTATGTGAGTGAAAGAGCTCTAAAAAGGAGAGCTTAGAGGTTTCTTTTACTAGAGATCTAAAAGGTCTAAAGTCAAAAGGTTTTATCCTCTCATAATGATATGAGGTTAGTATTTATAGAAAAAGAATATGACCTTTGATTCTAGGATTATGCCACATCATCTAACTTTGGATGATCAAATTTGGCTTAAAGGATTTAGGTTTTTTTAGACTAAACTCGTTTTAACTTGCTAGCAAATGTTGAAGAAAGTAATAATGGGACCTTCATTTAGTGGACCCTTCTCTAAGCTCATGAAGCCAATCTTTTTAATACATCCTAAGAATAAGGCATGGAAACCGGCCTTGCTAGAACACATGTGTCCATTATTGCAACCCATGATCGTACACTAAGTGAGGTTCATCACTAATCCAATCTATTTAGGGTGTATAATGAACCCATGTAAAAAAAAAAAAAAAATCAAGAATAAATAGCATAGATTAACATATAATAACAAATTAGTTAAGTTATCTAATTAATTTTTTTATGAACAAATTGAAACTATATATTTAGCCTTTTGCACATATAGATTTACTAACAAGAGTGTTTATGCAATCATATATAACGAGAAAAAATAAAATATAAAAATAAATAAATAAAGCTAGAAACATAATTGATAATAATTATGGTGGACTTGCCATAAGTATTTTGATGTGTAGGGTGAATTTTGACATTGAAGATGACTTTGACTGATTTTTTGTCACCACCAAATTTTTATAGTCTCTTTTGACTTTCCTAACCTAAAAATAAATAATTAAAGGTATTAAAGAAACTTTTTTTTTTCTTAATAACACTTATAAAAGAAAAACCCAAGTTGTAAAAAGAAAAGTTTTGCTTGATAATTTTATGAATTAAGAGAGAAATTAACAATGCGGATCTCCTAAATTCTCGAAACATTACCATGGAATTTAACTTCCATGATACATGAAGAAATAGAAGGTAAATTTTGTACAATAATTTTTTTTAATTGGAATGCATAATCTAGTGGCATCGTTGGTGTGTAATCCAACAACACTCGTTGGTTGCACTCGGCTAGCGACCACACTATTGGTGTACAATCCAACATGTGTTGGCTTGCAAACCGAGAGATGGTAGATTTTTTTTTTCTTTTTTTTGTAGTTGGCCAACAAGTTTTTTTAACTTTTTAATGTATTTTTTTAATACTTGACATAAAAAATGTTTTATTAAGGTAAAAAAAAAATTATTACAAATAGTATTTGCCAATTTTTTTTTTCTAGCACGTAGTGCTTGCTAGTTCTTTTTTTGTCGGACAAGTACTTACCATCTCTTGTTAGTGAAAGAAAGTGCTTGCCAACTTTTTTTTTCCATGGCAAATAATGCTTACTAGTCTTTTTCCATGACATGTAATACTCACTAGTATTTTTTTTTTTTTTGACGAGTAGTGTTTGTTAGCTCTTTGCCATGGCGAGCAGCATCTACTAAAACAAAACAAGTATATATATATTAAAGAACAAGACACGGTCGTTGTTCGAGTAGGCCAATAATTAATGCTTGCTGGTTGAGGAGACCAACATTATTTTATTAATTTTATTTTTAAAATTTTTAATTATTATTATTTGTAATTAATCATTTTTATGCTAACTTACATTTATTATTTTTTTTAGGTTATAAGATAGAACATCAAGATACTAAGAGAAAAAAATATTCCACTAGCTAATAGACTTTGCGAGTGGCAAAGGTGAAGATATTCTTGTCCCTCCTTGCAATATGTGAAAGAATCCAACTATATTCTTTCGGACAATTTGTCAAAAATAGCTAAAGCTTATGTGATAACTACTTGGCCAAAAAGTAGCCTTTAAGCAAGAAGGTTCATCTCGAGAGAATTCAAGATGAGTTCTAGTAATGATCCCATCACACCTAATTCTTGTCTATAATTTTTGGATGGAGGGAAAACATATTCTCTTATCTTCTTTTACGAGTTTCAAACGGAGAGAAAAATGATAGGACAAGACTAGTATTATCTAAATTGTGAGAATGGATAGATAGAATTCTTAAAAAAAAAAATGTATGCTCGACTAACTAGGAGTTACTAGAGTTTTGGATGTGATTTTATTGAGCAAACACTTAGATGTTTTGCTTTGACATAGACAAGTTAATGCGGAGACATACTCTCTCGTTGGAACACCTACACTCACATTTTTATTATTGCTTAGGCGAAATAACTTCTACATTGAAAGACATCTACATTCTCTTGAAACTTTCTTTATATGGAAGCACATATTTGCTTGACAATAGGGTAGACAAGTGATAATCTCGTATATCAAACATTATTAAGAAGAGCTGGAAAAGCAAAGCTCTATAGCCATGGTTCATTCAACTTTGTAAACTTTATGGACAAGTATGCTAAGAAAACGATAATTCAGTGGATGAGTGATATCAAAGGACAAGTTGTAGGTTATGAGGATCGTGTTCACATATTCTATGTTTGTGATAGAAAAGGAAAACTTGACTTAATAGCTAGGAATAACCTCAATCACAAAGAGCTTGATTTATTGGTATAGGGACATGCTCGGAACTCTTCTATATATGCAAAGTGTGATGATATGGAGTATTGGATAGTGATTTATGCTCCTCATCGGTTTTCTCATAAATTTAGGTTTGATCAAAGCATTCCTTCAATCATTACTTTTCCGCCTAGCAATCTTAAGCGGACGTGTGCTCAATTTGAGATGGGAAATCATAGAAGGATCTACGAAGTGAATAAGTGGTTCTACTTTTCTCGATTTGATCAAGCAAGTGTAAAAAAGCCAACATTGGTATGGTTATTGAAAGAAATTTTTGATCCAAGTATCAACTCTTTATTAAGAATTTCTCACCTATTCATGATGTTCCTAACATAGAGAAAAGCCTTGCCATGATCTCGTCTATCTTTTTTTTTTGATTAAAAAGTAAGTATATTAATCAAAAGAGTCTGGAGAACCAGCGAAAGTTACATATACATGATTTTACAAGTCGACGGGAACAGGATCCCACGAAAACAAAGCAAAAGAGCTAGAACTAGAAAGTTATTCAAGGAATCTAGAATTATAGATTCCAAGAAAAACTCAAATGTTAACTCGCGCTAGCTATCCGGAACCATTTACAAGGCTTAACAACATACAAAAATCTTACCGACAAGACCAAAAGAAAAACAATGTGCGAAACGATTGTGCCGACTACCCAACATGAAGTAACATGTGGTCCTTCTCATGGAAATGAAAGATCATGAAGAAGATGACCCGAAACT